AACTGTAAGGTTTTGACACAGATTAACCCCAACAGAACCAGACACAGGATAATTGTGGCGATGTACAGAAACCATGACAAGTAAAATTCAAATTTGTCTAGACAATTCTTGCGTTTTTGTACCCCCTTCTTAGGAAGCCCAGCAGCAGTTCCTCTTCTGTAGCGTTGATTCTCCCACAAACTGTCTGACTTTCCTCTATAGCGACTGTCAGAAGGGAGGCTGCCTGAATTTCTTGTATATCGATCAGAATACAAGCTGCTAAATCTGCCTGCATGTTGATCTGAACTCAGGCTCTCGGATTTCCCTGCATATTGACCTGAATACAAGCTATCAGATTTCTCTGTGTACAGATTGGATTTCAGACTCTGATATTTCCTTGTGTATTGATCCAAACTCACGATGTCAGATTTTCCTGTATATGGATCTAGATACAAACTATCGGATTTTCTTGTGTATGGATCCGAATATGAACTGTCAGATTTCTTTGTATATGGATCTGAATTCAGACTCGTCCCAGTGTAGCGATCTGAATACAGGCTGCCAGTTATCCCATTGTGTGAATCTGAACTCAGGCTGCCCGACGTCCCTGCATTCTTTGTACATAGATCTGAATTCAGACTCTCCCCACTGTAGCGATCTGAATACAGGCTGCCAGTTATCCTATTGTGTGAATCTGAACCCAGGCTGCCCGACGTCTCTGCATACGGAGCTGAACCGAGGCTCCCAGACACCCCTGCATATCGTTCAGAATATGAAGTGACAGGTTTCCTGGTATAGGGATCTGAAGTCAAGCTCCCAGATGCCCCTGTATATCGCTCAGAATATGAAGTGACAGATTTCCTGGTGTATGGATCTGAAATCAGGCTGCCAGATGTTCCTATGTAGCGATCTGAATATGAGTTGACAGGTTTCCTGGTAAACGGATCCGAATAGAAGCTGCTGAAAATCCCCGTGTACCGATGGGAACTCAGGCTGTCCGATTCCTCCCTATCCCCAATATCCCCTTCATGGAGTCTATCTGTAAGGTATGCAGCCGACGTCCCTGTATTTTGTGTGGTAGCAGTGTCAGACACAGCGTCGGCCTGCTGGCGGCTGAACTCAGCCCTAGTTCTGGAGGCGGCGGCCGGCCTTCTCCTCGGCTGCTCCGGGGCCAGGGCTGGATCCGGATCTGGGTCTGGGGCCTCAGCCTCCCGCTGCCGGAGACTCTGGCGAACCCGTGGGGCACGGCTGCTTTTTCCCTTTTGTTTCCTTTCGGACCTCAGTTGTTCTAATTTTTTCAGGTACAGAGACCTGGTGCTATCTGTGATAGGGCCGGCCGCGTAACCCAAAGCCTTCAGCTCGCTTCGCAAATCTCTGTCGTTCATTGTCGCCGCCATTTTCACTCTCTCCGACAGTGCGCAGGTGCAGCCCCAGCCGTCGAGCATGCGTACTCGGCAAGTCTCAGAGTACGGATAAGAAGCGCGAGCTCCTCCGGCGGATTATGTATCAATCGTTGAAGAGGGACATGTGGTGAAATGGTAATGTCCCTTTCTCTGGGCCAGGAGACCTGTATTCAAGGCCTACCTGTTCCAGAGGTGTGTAATAACATCGCTGAACATGTTCGTTAGGGAAAATGTATATATAAATTATTGAAGACGGTAAATGGTAGATTGAGAAAGCATCTCCGATCCTGTCCCAATGGAGGAAACAATGCAAAATCACGGGACGTCATCCAGGCTCTATCTTTAAAGCTGAATCAGAGATAGTAGGAACTGCAGATGCTGGAGAATCCGAGACAACAAGGTGCAGGGCTGGATGAACACAGCAGGCCAAGCAGCA